CATCTGCAGCAGCAGCATCTGCATCACCATCACCAGCACCCGCATCACCAGCAGCATCCGCTCCGTCACCAGCACCACCATCACCAGCGTTCGCGTCACCAGCAGCCTCTGCGTCACCACCACCACCGCCACCACCGCCAAATCCTCCTCGGTTCCCTCCTCTGTTACCACCACGACCGCCGCCGCCGCCGCCGAATCCATTGTTCTGTCTGCCACCAATCAACACCCGGCCCCCAACGGCGGTCGAAGTGTCATCACAGTCTGACGGGGCTGTTAACGCCCTTGCAGGATTTGATGAGAGTTGGCGGGCGTCGTACCGCTGGACGAGGGACAACATCGTTATTTTATGTGTAGGCGGATCTTAGACCAAACTGAAGCACTCACATAAGGCCTGGTCCTAGCGACCGAGGGATCGACGAGCAGTAACAAGCACGCAAGCAGGACGAGGACCGATTTCATCCTGACACAAATTCAATTGATCGGCAGCTTGGGAGTCGCAGGGGAGCTTTGAGAGGGGCTGCTTACTGCTACGGCTAGCTAGGACTGGAAAGTCCACTCAGATCGACAGACGGGGAGAAGACAAGCCAGTTGTCTACAGTGTTTCGGGGAAGGAAATGAAGGTGCCGGAGGACTGATCGAGGTATCGAGTCTCTCAGAGCTATAGCTCCTAGTCAGCATTTCCTCTTCGTTTGGCACCAGAGGATATCTTACATTGAAGTTTTGTTGAAGGCTCGTCGTTATCGTCACCGGGACGTCGAAGGCAAGAAGGAAGAATAAGGGGATCTCACAGAGACCGGAGAACAAATCAGGAGAGATAGAAATCGGAAAGATATGGGGGAGATACTATGACATGTTGACTGCGGAGCTTCCCATATAGTATCCTTATAACGCCGTCAATGCCCTATAGCAAGGTCTTGAGCGTACACATCTCGGACGTTGCTATCGTGCACACCAGATTCCATGCGAGTGATAGCTAAGCCGGAGTCAAGTATTCATGTGTCATCTTTACTTAGCAGCGTGTAGACGATGTAACTTTAAACAGGACGACCATATCCAAGAGTCAAGCTCGCCGAGGGGTTGATAAGAGATGATGAATTGCAGCTTGGATACCACCTTGCACCTAGGTGATCGTAACTGTCGCACCGATTAGGCGGCTTCGACTGTACATTCATGACCGGTGCAGATGACCTCCCACACAGCACTTCACGACAGGATACAGCACAGCCAAGATATGGTCATCGACCGGTTGACTCGCTCGCTGGCTTAGTGAGCACCACATGCGAAGTGCTGACCTCGGTACCGTAGGCATAGGTAGGACAAGCGTTTAGTACGGCAATCTGCCCGACATGACCTCGTTACGGGCTTAGAGACCACGGTGAATTCACTTTCGGGGACATGACAACGGCTCAACGGTTGTTAAGAGATGGCGCTCACCGCTTACACCGTCGAGACGGTATTCATCGTACGTGTGATCAAGCGAGTGTGAGGCATTCCCCAGCTCGCCTTTCGAGGTACGGCACAACCGCTGCTATCTATCGTACCATCGTCTCTTAGGGCGATCGAAAGCCTAGTGCAGGGTGAAGTCACAACGCTGGCCCCCTTTAAGGGCTCGACCTCCGCAAGTCCCTATACCTGTGTCTGTGCGAAGCTTAGCGTGTCTATTCCCGGGTGGCGTCCATCACAGACCGCTTGGTCTTGATACATGACCTGATCGAGATTCAAAACATGAGGTCACAAACTTCTGAATGTCGAGTTAGCACTTTGAGCTTTGAGATCAGCGAGTGACTGCTTCTTCGAATGCCAGCCTCAATTATATAATTCCTTGAAGACTTGACGCACATTCAGCAATGCTGAGAGGTATCTCCAAAACGGTCATGGCTTGTGCTCATGCCATGCAAAGCACAACAAACCTGTCCGGTACGACCTATGCAGTTCTGTCTACCTGCTATACCATGTCTTCGTTAACGTTCCTTTGGGCGTGGACAATGCGCCCGCCCATTGACCCTGGATCATCACTTTCCTCATCAACATCCATCAATACGCTATGAGACAATCTGACGAGATGTTAGCTTAGCGTCAAGCGGTTCCCGCTTTGATGCATGATGCCACCATAACATGGACCTGTTGACAGCCTCGTGTAAGATGGACTGCAACTGCGATCACTGCCGTTACGGCGAGCGTTATATGTTGGGACAACGATCATCGACTGTGTGTGTATGTGTATCCGCGCATGTGTATATAGTTCGAGATCTCAATCAGGCAAAGTCGAGCCTTCTGATCAGTTCTTACAGCGCATCGTTGCAGAGTCTCGTTTTGTTCGCCCAACCCGACTTCCTTGTCTTACACTTGCAGAACCTCGCTTCATTTGATCATCTCAGCTGGTGATTGATGGCGAGAAGATAGTCAGTACGTCTCAAATTCTCGTTCCCAGCCGAACAGGCTGATCCCCTCTATCGGTCCGGGTCAGCTGTCCAAACCTTCTTTCGTTTATTTGATCGCCTCGTTCCCCTCTGGTCACAGACTGACTTATCGCACATGTGGTAACGATCTGAAGGAGGAATCCTGAAGTTTGATCGCCCATCCCATATCCTATCTTCTCCGCTTTAGCGTTATCCTCGACCTTGCGCCCCCACGACACACAGCTATTAAACCTAATCTCGCGGCGACGATCATTTCCGAAATCTCCACCATCAGCATATCACCCACGTTCAGCGCAGGTTGCGAGATCGAGCAGGCCTCGATACCTATCTAAGCGACCTCGATTGCCCTAGATAAAGCAGAAATCTAGCCGTGATACCTCACATCGTTCCCCCTCTTTTTTTCTTCTCCCTCAAAGTCATTCGCCATTCCTCGCCATTATTAGAACACGGTTCCACTGCACCAAGCACGCAAGGACGATGGCTCCCACAGGAGCTGCTTCAGTCACGGCAGGATCTATGTCTCATGTCATACCTTCAGATCGTCCCCCAGGAGAGCATGCAGCAAGGGGCACAAGCGATCATGCAATCGAATTTGACGATAGTTGCGTTATGATTGATACGGATCCATTGTCGATTATCGAGGATGGGATCCGGAAGAAGCTGTGAGTGCTGCACGAGGGTTATCAACCCTGGAATGCTTTCATGGAAATTGCCTTTCTCGGTTATGGGGGAGATATCTGTTCTTCCCGTTGTGGGAAGCAGCGGGTCTCAACTTACGGCAACTACTGCTAACTTTGTACCTGAACACGATATCTGTCTCTGAATCAGATCCGCCGCATCTATCTCAGGCCCTGGTGTTACCCCTCGCATGGACGAAACAGACGATAAGACAACGACCTGTCGATCAGGTTCAGGTACAACAGGTACCGTCCCAGCAGGTGCCCCATACAATTCGATCCTCAAAAACGAAAAACAGCAGCCACAGGTCTCACCGCCAAACGGCTCTATACCTGAATCGCAGACTCCGCCTGCGCCCACCAGGCGTCGACTCTCTCTGTCTTCTCTGATCAACAATTTACCTGCACTCCCTGTACAACCGACTACAAAACTCAGAGCTCTGGTCCGAAAATTATCTTCTTCCCCTCTCCATTCTCTTCACAATCAGTCAGACTTGAAATCGACACCTGCTCCACCTGTCATCTCTTCCTCTTCTTCCCCCTCTTCCCCTCGACCTACATCTTTTGATCCATTTCCCTCTCGTTCAACTCCCAAACGAGCTTCTACAATGCCCGTCGTCCCTCGAATCTCCACCTCCACCATCCCCTCGTCACCCATGGTGGTCGCTCCTTTCGGCGCTCGAAAGTTCACTACCACTGAGATCGACCGAGAGATCGAAACCGACGATGACGACGCGCAAGTGATCGTCGTCGACTCGAGACCAATCAAAAACGCTGCAACTGCGACTCAAGACCTCGCCTCGTCTGCCCGTTCTAGCACCCTCACTGTCCTTGACGAAGACGCAGCCTACTTCTCCCCAACACTCCTCACCCCTCAGCAGGATTATTTCGTCCCTTCGAATGATACCACCACCTCATTCGGCCGACGAGGTCCCTTCATCTCGCGAAACTCGTCATTCGGCGATGATCTCACAACGCTTTCCGAGGTGGACGAGTCCGAGCACTACGACCGATCCTACATCCGTACTTCGGCCTCAGCACCAACCAGCCCCGTAGCTCAGTCGACCAAGGTCTGCACCGGTGTGTGGCTTTGCTCTCGACCGCCTCGTGCATCCTGCCCGATCCAGGCTAGACAGGTCTCCCCTACGTTGACTGTCACCAACCCTCTTCCACCCAAAAAGGTCAACCGGCCTTTGGTCGTTAGGAGCATGTCGACCGGCCGACTTGCCAGGGAGTTCGACGATCAAGGTCGAGTCATCTGCCTCTCGGTACACTCTGACCGTGTGCTTGGGCCCTCCGTCTCCCCTCCCCCGCCTACCTCCCGAAAGCAGTGCTGGCTGAGCGTCGGTTCCCGCTCAACCCCTGGTCTCCTCGGCTCCAACACATACCAGACACCCAGGAGAGTGCCTACTTCACCTTCTGTGGCTCCTCTCAACAAGCTTGGGCTGCCTGCTCAACCGGTACGAACGATTTCCAACTCCAGCAAGCAGTCTTCTACCGAGAGACTGGTGCGAGTCCCTTCGTCGTCTGCTTCGACCTTGAGCCGAGCAACTTCCATCGGCAGTTGGAAAAAGAAGGCGTGGCAACTGAACAACCGAAGTGTCCGGGTTTAATGCGGCGCTGAGGAACAGGACGAGTTGTATATACTGTACTGCTAGACGGAGTGGAATGTCCAGGGCCCGGTGCTCTCCTTACTGTATACGTTGTATAAATGCCAGGATGCCCTTTGATGAATTATCTGTGGACCCCCCTGATCCTGGTCCATGTGTGGTCATCTTCTGGCGCTATGAGTGGATGAGTGCGGCACTTGAGGCGCAAGCAGGCAGACAGACAGGATCGAAAGGGGAGTAAGCTTTCCGACCTTAACTATATATTATACTACACAAACTTAGTTTTAACCACCGGTCGGATGATGGAGTTGGTCACCATACCTGTCTAACACACAGGAGGTCGCAAGTTCGAGCCTTGCTTCGATCATTTTTTTTTCCTTTCCGGGCATTCAACCAAAACGATGCTGGCCGCTCGTCCGGTCCCTGACGGGACCGACCTCGCGACCAGCGAAAAGAGGTCGGCAGTTCGATCCTGCCCGGGATCAAATTTTTGCTTTGCGTCTGTAGAACGCCTTCGATCTTTTTGCTTTCCGCCACTCTTCACCATAGCACCATATCCATCCTTGCCACAAGCCAGCCAAACGCGTATGGCTCACGCGCATCTGAGTACATTAGCACGAGTAGGCACGGGTCGACGCGACATGTCTCGCCAGCAGGGTAACGACGACGCGATTTGTAAATTCCGAAGCAAGCAAGCACATGCAGGAAAACATGATAAGCGGTCCGTCCCATCAAGCATCACCATAGAGCGTAGCACGACTTACACATTATACTTCTGACTTTAGACTATACTTGAAATCTCACACCACATTCCTCTGCTCCCCACCTTCTTATCCTCTCCTCCCTCCATCCTGCTCTCGTTTCTGGCTCAGAGTGCGAGCTCAGGCGACGTGAGTGTACGTTCAACGACATGGCTATATCGGTAAGAGATAGCTCGGCGACGGCCTCCCCTTCGAGAGCAGGACTCAGGCGAGCTGCGTCTCAGAAGATGGCTCCTGTGGATGTCGACTTGACGATGGACAGCGAGGACGAAGAGTTGAGACCTGCCGCAAATGGCGTCAAACGAAAACGAGTGAGTGGGCAAGCGGGTTGTGCAGCACTCGAAATCCTTTCGTTTCTAGGCTGATCGTAATATTGCTTATGACAGATTGAGCTCTCGGTCACACCATCTGATGCATCCGAAAACCAGTCGGCCTCAGGCTCAGATTCAGACGACGGGCTCGGCGAAGAAGAATACGAGGTGGAATGTATCGTCGACTCGCGATACATCAAGTTCCGCGGCAAACGCCAACTAGAATACTTGATCCACTGGGTCGGGTACAGCAAAAAGGACCGTTCGTGGACACCCGCAAGCCAGTTTGATAACGACGACCCACCTGTCCTAAGGTTTTACAAAGCAAACCCTGGAAAGCCGGGAGCGCGGGATGTGATTGGTTTGTTGAAAACAACGGAAAATGCTGCCGGTGCGAAGCGGGACAGCTCGAGATCGAAGCTCGAATCGAACGAAGGTGTGCGTTCGAAGGGCGAAGTTCGATTGAACACTAGTTCGAACTCGGCGAAGTTGCCACCTTCGCCGGCGAAGGTGACCTCTTCCACAACACCCAAGTCCGTCAAGGAAAAATCAACGAATGGCATCGCCAAACCTTCCCCAGCGTTGGGGATCATGGGCTACTTCTCACGTGTGGACAAGACCCCCAAGGACACACCCGGTTCGCAAGCATCTGGCTCGAGATCCCGGCCCACTAGGGACAAGGAGAACATCACCCCTGACGTCGACGTCGTCGATAGCGATGCGTCTCCCGCTCCTCGTCGCCGCTCCGCAAAACCGCTTATCAACGGCAGCTCCAAGAAGAAAGACTCGACAGAACCGCCCAGCAAGAAGCGAAGGCCAGCTACGCCTGATGACGAGCCCGAGTCAAGCGAAGAAGACGGCGGAGATGGCGACGACGGAAGCGACTTTGTCATGGAGGATGGAGGTGAGGAGGACAAGGCGGAATCAGGTGACGATGAGGACGGGGATTTCAAATCGGCAGATGAAGCAGAGTCAGCTGTGGAAGAGGATGAGCCGGAGTCCGAGGAGGAGAAGCGTGAGTACTTCCCCATCATGTCATCCGGGCACAAATACTGATCTCTTTGAACTTGCAGCAGCCAAGGCGTCAGGAGGCAAGAAGTCCGGCAGTTGGGGCGTCAAACTGAAAGGGGCCAAAAAGCCGGTAGCCGATTTGTACGTACCTCCCCTTCCCACATCATGCATGTACGCCTCTCAACGAAGTTTTCATAGGAGACACTTCAAGACCGGCATCAAACCTCTCGGAATGAAGGCGGATATCAAGCAGGCTATCAAGGGGATGAGCGAGGATCTGCCGCCGATGAACGACATCGAGGTTATGTTCGATCATCTCGTATCACGAGTAAGTGTACCGTTGCACCCGGATGTCGTTTGGGTGTATGCGCTGACATGCATCACAGGTACCCGATGTGGTCCAGTTGGTGAAGCAGCTCAACGGCAGAAAGCTGAGAGTAGCGACCATGTGCTCGTGAGTGCCGATGTCTGGGTGCGCGGAACAATGATGAGTGAGGCTAATCACATCCACCTGCATGTAGAGGTACCGAGTCCCCGCTTCTTGCCCTCAACATGATCGCCAAAGCAATCAAAGGCCAGCACGGTCAGACCCTGGGCTTCGAACATGTCTTCTCATGCGAGATCGAGCCCTTCAAGCAAGCCTACATCGAGCGAAACTTTGCCCCTCCTATCTTATTCCGAGATGTCACGGAGTTGGGGAAGAAGAAGGCGCATACAGCTTATGGATCTCTGGTGGCTGTGCCGGGTAACGTAGATGTGAGCTGACCATACAGAGCTCCACCGTTGGGCGCCGAGCTGACTGGTCTTTATTCGTACGCAGATCCTCATCGCTGGAACATCCTGTGTCGATTACTCAAACTTGAACAACGTGCAACAAGATATAGATGCCAACGGCGAATCAGGCCGAACGTTCAGAGGTATGCTTCAATGGGTGAAGAAGCATCAACCGCCTATTGTCATACTGGAGAATGTGTGCAACGCACCGTGGGACAAAGTCGTCGAATACTTTGGCAAGATTGATTATGACGCTCAATACGCTCGGTGAGTGGTCAAGCCACCAAAGACTGCTGTCGACACTGCTGATATAGTCTTCCCTCGCCTAGTCTCGACACCAAAGAGTATTACATCCCGCATACCCGTACGAGAGTATATCTCTTCGCCACACCAAGCAAGAAGGGCTCCAAGGAAGCTCTTGCCGACAAGTGGGCTGTAACCGTCAAAGATCTGAAACGACCATGGTCTGCGCCTTTCGAGGCCTTCCTTCTCCACACAGACGATCCCAACATCCACCGGGCCCGACTTGATCTTGCGTCAGCTAGAGAACAACGAGACGGTACTCAGCGAAAGGCGACCGATTGGAACCGATGCGAGTCACGACATCAGCGAGCTAGGCAAGAAGAGCAGCTCGGTCTGTTACGTCCTTTGACATCGTGGCAAGAAGCAGGAGTATGCAAGGGCCTGGACTGGACCTGGAATGACTGGCTTTTGACCCAAACAGAGCGAGTGCTGGATCTGCTCGAGATCTCAACACTGCGAATGGCCAAAGACGGAACAGACTCTGGGTTCAAAGCTTGCATCTGGAATGTCAGTCAGAACGTTGACCGACAGACCGGATCAAGCAAGACTGCCCTTGCGCAGTGCTTGACGCCCAATATGATTCCGTGGGTCACCGTTCGAGGTGGACCGGTCACTGGCAGAGAAGCGCTTGCCCTGCAAGGTATCCCTGTGCGAGAGTTGCTGTTGACCAGCGAGAACGAGGATCAGCTTGCGGACCTTGCCGGTAACGCGATGACCACTACTGTAGTCGGCGCTTCGATGCTCGCCGCTCTCAAGATTGCTGTGGACAAGCTTTCTGCTGGACAGAACGCCGTCGAAGACGCAGCTAAAATCGAAGAGGAAGCCGTTCATAACGATGATATGGTCTCAAAACGGGTCATCGGAGAGAAGAATCTCGTTCAACACGATCTCGATCTCGCCAAAGTCGCCCAAGCCAATCTCGCCGAGATTCTCGACTTAGCCAAACGTAGTGCGAGGCACTGTCAATGTGAGGGCCAGTCTGGCACTGCGTCTCCGATTGAAGAGTGCACAGCATGTGGCTACAAAGCTTGCAAATCTTGCGGAGGGAGACCTGACCATCACTACATCGCCTGTCAGAACGTACGCGTCGAGCCGACCGAGTTCGAGAAGAAGTTCAAGGAGCTCTTACCGATGCGAGTCAAGATTGCTGGCCTCTCGGAGAGATCTCTTCAGAAGGTCAGACAACAGGCGACCGCGCTTGGCAAAGGGACTGTGAACGAAAAGGACTGGAAGCTGTGGAGTCAAGCGGTCATTGAGGGTACTCAGGATGCCGAGTTCCGATTTCGATACCTCAAAAGGCAATACACCTGGACGGCTGTATACGAGGCTCCTCACGCTACTCTTGACCTCTTCTTGCAAGGACAGACACCTGAATGGCGACTCACCATCAAAGCACCCGCAACCGAGAACAATAACAGTCGGCTTCGAGCCCTTCTCCTGCACCCTGTCGCTCGTCTGCGATTTGACACAAAGGGACAAGACGTCTTGTGCGGCCCATGGGAGCTTTGCATCCCCAGCTACCAGTCCTTCCAGATCGAAATCCTTGGTCGAGGAGAACTTGTTCCCTCGTGGCAAGCGTCTTTGGGTCTTCAGGGTGGTTTGGAGAAGACAAAGCGATGGTCGCAACTCGAGTTCTCTCTGCCCGCCCAAGCGGAGAAAGCTCTGGACCGAAAGCTGTCCGGGACCTACACACTCCTGCCAAAATGTGGTCAAGCAATGCACTCGCTGCATAAAAAGGAACGGGATCCCGCCGACAAAGGTCTGGAACAGCTGTACTTCTTCCTTGACCCCACTCGTTGTGGCGAGTCCGAAGACGACTCTTACGTCTTTTCCACTTCGACGGAAAGGGTCGACTTTGGCACCGAGAGAGCTGTCATCGCTGTCCTCGAACCCAAGTGGAGGGAGAATGCAAAGGAGAAGCAGACCGTGCGACTTGACGTGCGAGGTGGCTGGGTCACATGCGATGAAGCTCACCTCACGGCTGTAGGAGGCAACGATATTGCGGTTGTCCAAGGTGAAGCTAGCTCCATACAAAGGGACAGAGCTACTTATTCCATTCCCAAATCCGCATCGTCCATATCTGTATCACTCGATCATGACGGTTGTACCCATTCCACCGCTCTACTCTCTTGTCGAGTCCCCATTGATCCGGCTCATTCGGAGAATATGTGGAGACCTGACACCTGGGGCGAGATCGACTTACTACA